GAACCGTGGACGAGGCTGCCGCCTACGCTCAACGTTGCGAGCAGTGACGCCATGCGGCGTCAAAAACGACGGCTGAGCCAAGAGGTGTGCCTGCCATGCGGGATTGTTTTCTCTCTTCTTTCCCACAGTACACCGGCAACTACGAGCCGGTACCCCAAGAAAAAAAAAAAAATACTAAAAGAATCCTACTGCCACCGCTCGAGCACAAAATTATTTTCTACTTTATTTCCAACACAAACGGAGGGAGCGTCTAGAACATTGTGACGGCGGCCAGCGCCACGGCAAGGCCGACGACGCCATGCACCACACCGAGTCCATTCACCGCCGTCGCATCGTGGCCAGACCGTGACGGGTGATGGTGAGATCCACTGCCATGCTTTTCGTTGGCAGCTGCCGCAAACTCGTCGATCTCCGCCTCGGGCGACGCGAACTCCTGGGCGTTGGCTACACCCGCACTTCCGCCAAGAAGCACAATGGCCAGCAAGGCGGAAAGGAGGACGAGCTGCATATTATTTATATGTATTTGGCTGTTGAATGGTTGTTAGTTTTCATTTTTTCCCATATATATATATTTGGTTAGCTTGCAATGTAATGTCGATATTTTGATGCATCGCTATCTATAATCGTGTGCCTTTCGTGGTAATAACAATAGTTGTGTTGTGTGTATTGTTTACTCTCCTTAATGCTGGTTTGTGACCATCCACGTTTGTGGCATCTATTTGGGTTGTTGTTGCGTCGTGTAGCAGTAGTGTGGTTCCTGATCTTGCGTATGGGCATGCCATAGAACATCGCTGGAGCTGCCCACCAATGAGCGGCGCCTTATCTGAATATTAAATAGGCGTCTGGTAGGGGTTCCTGATGTACATGCCACAGCAGCTGTGTTGTATGACGGTAAAAAAATCGCCGCGCGCTGTTCCTCTTTCTTCGCGGGTCAACTTACACTGGTGCACCATGGGAAGAGTATCTCTAATGCTTCCAAAAAGGATGGCTTGTTCTTGCCTCATTAGAGCGATGTTGGCATGTGTTTTAACTCTGTTTTTCTGCTGCTGCGTAAGTCCAGCATAGAGGCAATGGTAGGTGCTTTTACTAGAAGCACTGGGTCCATGAATTGCGGTAATGGCACCAGTGGGGGTTGTGAAATCAAGGTCATCCACATCGTTTGACGCGGAATAAAAAGAAATCGGGTCATGGCAGGGCATGCCATTTGCACTGGAACTTTTCTCTTCTTGTGCTTTGGCTTCTGATGGGTCCAAGGTAAATGCCGCAACCTCCGAATAAGTGTAGGTGTATCTATCCAGGCCTATGGTTTTATCCTTATCCCCCGCGGCTGGAGGGTTATTTTTTTTCTAACAGTTTCGAGGCAATCTTCAACGTTGTTAGTAGTGGTAGTATTGTAACTCGAATCCGCAAGTGGCTTCCAGACAACATTTTTCACCTCGTAACATGTATCAACTGCCGTAAGGGCCCAAGACCCTCAAGAAGCACATACGTCCGATGACAGTCATGGTGCATACCCTGTGGCCGGTTGATGAACTAAAACAACAATATGTAATACATGGAAACACACACTAATGTTTAGTTCAGTTCCTTGACAATATACGTTTATCGTACTGAGCAGAAACACAAAAAGGAACCCCATTACCGCGGATGACAAGCCAACCTGCCCATGTGTCAGAGTTATTGCATCTCAATTTGTTTTTGCTAATCGCTGTAGACGCCTTTGTAGGATGTCCAAAATACCCAACTTTGCGTGAACAACTCGAATTATCGCACTGCGTTGAAGCGCATTTATTGCTAGAACCTGCACATCAGCTTCTCCCATGGCTAATTCCTTCTTGCAATTCTGATGATGTTGACGCAATTGCTGCAGTACAAGCTCGGAACCTCCAAGCACGAGGCCTATGATCAATGTTAACTTCACAGACATATGTAGAAGTATACCGATAAGAGCCAGTGTAGCACACAGCAAGAAAAAAAAAACTTCAGTTAGCAGTGCGACTACAACGTATGCCGACGTTTTCGCACTGGAAAGGATGGTTTGCAACAACTTGGCGGGGCTCACCAATGGGATACGATTCGTGTGCGGCGTCGCTAGCATGGCCACAAGACCAGTTTCCAAAATAGTGTTGTGAATTCGCTGTCCCGCCATGTAGGCTGCCCTGTGTCCCAGAAAGGAGGTCCCACGGTAGGCGACAATACCGGCGGCCATAACGAGGCAGCAGCCCACAAGACCCGGTGGGGTGGAAATAGACGCGGAGACTAAAGATCAATCCCATTCTACGGCTTCGGTGTCGCTGCTGCCGTTGAGGGTGGCCACCTCCCTTGCGAGTTGTTGGACAGCAATGTTCAAGCCCGTTGAGAGCAAGACGAAAAACGCCACAACCAAGATGATTTTGGCGTGCGGCCACCAAAAACGTTGCGCAAACAGCAGTAGTAGGTCATCTGAGGGCAAATCCCTGGCATGCACAACTACCTCCTAACAGCAAGAAAAATAAAAATCAAAAAAAATTAAGACGCAACAACAAGTGCAAACGGCACACTTCCATGTGTCAAGAGAGTCTCCACATACCTTTCCCCTTCCCCGTCATACTTTGCAGAGCGATCCAACGACATCACTTCGCATCATCATCCTGCTCAAACAACTGCCTGCGCAGCCTGGTGGAGCTGATAAGGTCATCACAGCCAGTGCGCACATGTGGTATTTGGATGTATTCGAGTGGTTTGAGCCCGTATGACGCCCGTTCCGCATTGATAGACGCGACAGCACTCACTGTCTCGGGAGACACCACTAATGCTTCTACCTCCGCATCGCGGTTTGTTCCGCCGCTTGGTTCAGTGATTCCCACAACATTCAGTGCGATATCCCTTCGCACGCTGTAAAGGAACTCCGTGACCGAATCGCAGCGAGCCTCAAATGGCTCAATGTATGAGCCATACTTCTTCCCCGCCAGCATGGTCTCTAACGTGACACCAACGCGCAGGGACCTTGTGGTATAAAACAACGCTGTGGTAAGCAGTAGTTTGTGGCCGGCGTGGAGGCGATCAAAGGTTCCCCCTAGAGCCACGGACGTATACACGGGCACAAACCCACGGTCCGCCGTCATTGACCCCGCACTAAACAAAGTTGGTGGAGCGGCACTGTCATTCTCACTACATGTGGAGAAGAATTGCTCTTCACTTGATGGAAAAATAGGAATTACATTCACAAAGGTATCCGGGTGGTGCTCTAGGGATGCCACGTACAGCTCCTTGGTGTGTTTCAGCAGTGTGTCGCGATGAGCGTCGTGTATCTGAAGTTGTACAAAAAGTGGGTTCTTCGAGTCGCCTACAGGCTCCATTCCACAAAGCAGCATGAGATAGGCACGCAACGCTGCCTTATTGCTCTCGAGCCCAGCCTTCGTAGAAAGCCGCAATGTCCTCATTATCACTTAGTATCCGTGTGCCTCTAGCCTCTTTGTTTTACTGTGGTGGTTGCCGCCGCGTGCTTCTCTCTTGCTAATACCACTCTCCTTTTGTACCTTACCGCCCACAGACCCCCTTGAGGCGCCCCCTTCTCTCCGTGGGAGGAACTACAGTAACAATGAGCGAAAAGCAACAGGCCCACGGACTCACATAAGAGAAAGGAAGACACAGCAAGAAAAAAAAAAACAGTAAAACCCATCGTTTGGACTGCCGCCTATCCAACAATTTATGTTCTTTTCTTTTGTTTTATTGTTTATCTGGCCTCTGTTCACCCTCACTCGCTCCCTCGCCGTCTCTATCCCGCGGCTCAGCTGCTACGGCGTTAAAGGCCGTGCCCTCCGCCACAGCGAGAATCCTCACGGCTCGCGGAGGTACTCCCAAGATGTGTCATCGTGGGCGACGGAAGAATCCGATGAGGCGTGCCACGCGTCGCACAGCCAACTCGCGCTGCAGCGAAAAACACGAAAATGGTGGTTGAGTGAAGAAATGGCATGGATTGAAAAGACTGACCCTAACCCTCCGTGTACGGGGTTTGCAAAGCAGTAGAAGACGCGCCTGATCCGGCTGTGTACCAGCGCCATGGAGCACATGACGCACGGCTCGTGACTAAGGAACAAGTCAATGTTGTTCGCCAGATAGGGCGCATCATCCTTCTCCACTCGCTCTGTGTGCTGAATGTGAGCCAGCTTCTTTAGCACGCAAGTTACGGGGTGATCCAGAACAACGTGGTCCTCTGAACTCTCCACAGCAGGCACATATCCAAAGCAAGCCGCCGCGTTTGATCGGTGCAGTAGACCCGCTGCATCGCTCGAAGCAAGCACACACCAGTCCTGGGAAGTGTCAATCAGCACCGCCGCTATTCCAAGCGTCTCCTCACTGCGTCCTCGCTTGGCAAGCGACAGAACACTCTCATTAAAGACGCGTCTTATTTTTGTCACTTCCTCAATTGGCAGTGAAGAGGCTTGACGTGGTTTGGGAACAGCAAAGGGCCACACTGTGCACCACTTGGTCCACTCCACGGGGGACGTACGTGGGGCCCTGTCTGGCACCCACACCGTGTTAATGATGAGGGGAGACGCATTTCCGGAGACCTCTTCAAATTCCTTCAGTAGATCGGCATCAAACGAGCATCCAACACCAAGCAGCAGCTCTAGTGAAGCTTGAACTGACGTCGCCATTGCACTGGATTCCTCAGCCTCATTACCACGCCTTGGGGCGTGCCCACTCGGGGTGGCAGGACAGTCAGTGGGAGGAACAAGCACCGCTACGCATTGGGCCTTGCGAATACGCTTCAGATGGCGAGCATTCGGCTGCAACGGAAAGGAATGGTTGGCAATCCGCAGGAAATCCCCGCTCCAACTGGGATGCGGGATACGGAGGGCCACACCGCGCACAAGCTGCGGGGGCACCTCTGGAACCACCACCTCCTCCATCCCTACCGCAGTAAGTGGGCAACTAAGTGGAAAAGCCATCAAACGGAGGAAATAAAAAGAAGAAATGCAGGAAGACGGAAGAAACAGGCCGCATGCATCCCCTTTCATTATATATCTTCTTCACTCGACCCCAACCTCATTCCTTTTTTTTTTATTTCCCTTACCTCTTTCTCGCCTTATCACGTCAGCAGCCTTACGAAAAGCACACAAAAAAAAATTAAAAATTAAAAAAATAAGAAGAACGCGTCCTGAACTCCTTTCGGCATGGTGTCGATTAAACGCTGACTACCAGCAAGACGGAAACAAAATAAAAAGTGAGCCGTATTCTGCCGTCATGAATTGTGCGAGGTCCCCCGCCGCACACGGATCACCTTCAAATGTTCCCCGGTGTACCGTTCGGAGACCACTGTAGTCTCCACTGCGGCCTCAGCTTGTGTGGCCCCCCTGAAGGCGGTGCAAATCGTCTTCATCAACCCAGGCACATCATTCTGGGCGATCGCAACAATGTAGCACACGCCGCCAGCGGAGAGGAAACGGGGGAGCTGAGAAACAAATCGATCCACCACCACCCGCCCGCGTGGGCCACCACACCAAGCCGCCGTGATGAAGTCTCCTTGCTTCCCAGCGCTCTCCAGCTCCTCCGTGCTGGTTGGAACGTACGGCGGGTTGAAAAGAATCACATCGAATTCTTCAGTCTCGACCACCTGTTGGCCCTCAGTACCGTCGTGTTGAAACGGACCAAACAAGTCCCCATGGTGAAGATGAAGTCGTGGAGCCGCATCACCCCATAGACGCTGCAGGGATGTCCTCCATGTAATACTGGTCGCTTCCAACGCCACAGGGTTTATGTCGACTGCGTGGCACTCTCCTCGCCACGCACTGCTGCTCAAACACCGCCCCTCCTGCGTTCTACTTGCGCCCCCTGAAACACCAGACAAGACGAGTTGCAGGTGAGTGATGACAGTCCCCGACCCGCAGCCAATCTCCACGCAGCGACGCGGCTGCAGTGTGCGAAGCACATCCGCGTCTTTGTCGAGCGCCTCGAGCAACAAAAACGTGTCTGCCTCCGGCTCGTACACGCTGGTGTGAAATATCGGATCCGTGATACAGTGGAAGTAGTCAGGGGTAACTGCCATTGTGGGCTACAGGACGCACACGCAAGAGAGGCAAAACAAAAACAACATAAATAAAAAATTCGAAACCCGTAAAAATAACAAAAAAAAAAGAACCGCTTTGGGAGCACAAATCATATGGACATGTAAAGCACATGGCGCCTCGAAGAAAAAAAAAAAGGAGCGTGCGTGTGTTGTAGCCGTTGCAATGTTTTGTTACGTTGTTGTCGTTGTTGTTGTTTTTTCGTCGTCATTGTCATTGTTAGTGCTTTTACTAAACACATTCAACCAACAACGACGGGAAGATGGACAACCGTGTGAGTAACCCGTACGGCACACCACCCAACCCATAGAGGACCAACTTCTCCGCCGCCCTTGTGGCAGCATTCACCCCCACGCAATTGCGCAAATTTACTTCAGCACCTCAGGGCCTCCCCGGACAAGCGATGGAAGACGCAGCCGCGGTAGCACCTCTGACAGCTCGGACTCCCGCTCTGTATTTAGTTGCATGACAGCGCTCTCAGAAAAAGCATACCCAACGTCATTCCAACTAAGCCCTCTCAGCCAGCCGGAGATGGCGACGTCCGGCCCCTCCACCTCGCCAACGCACTGCCGGTTGCCTCCTTCGGGCTCCATCCGCAGCCTGTTAAAACGCAAGTACGGAATAAGAGTATCCATGAAGTCGTTGGTCAAAGGTTCCCTCCCGCGAAGATCGTTTCCTATCACCAGCGTGAACCGCAGCTGCCCCACTTGACCCGCAGCAGCAAATTCGCGGCGTGGCAAAAGATTAGAAACGAGGAAATTGCGAAGCAGCGTCCACGGCGCGTGCGGAAGGTACGCGATAAGGAGAGCCTGCGGGTCAGCAGGCGTGTACGCACCGTAGCGGTTCTCCTTTTCCATTTCCACCCCCAACTTTTCGCAGCAGCCGGCATGAAGGTCGCCGGTCATGGGATCAAAAAAACTCGTACAAAGAGCAGGCAGTTCCTTGCAAAAAGGACTCACTCCCTTGACGCCCGGAGGAACTTCAACTGGCGCCCCAGCAGGGGCAGTGGAAGCAACCTGATGCGGAGGTATTGGCCGTTTTCGCAAGACACTTTCACACTCCCGCTTCACCGCCAAGAAGAGGGCCATTTGCAGGAAGCCTGAGCGTGACTCCTGCTTGGAAAACGGCCCGATGCCCAGTGCAATGAGATGAACGCTCGCAAAGCCGTCGCCGTGCGACACTAAAAACTGTCGCACCGGCGACAAGACGTCACGACGGACAAACGCCACTCCTCGCAACGCCTCCGACGTCCGACGAAGGTCACGCACCACCGCCGAAATCGTTTGAGAAAAAAGCAGGTCGGGTGTGTGCTAAGATGGCATCCGCCTGGTTTTGCTTCGCGGCGGATTTTTCCCTGCGCTGTCTGGAGGGCTGTTGTTTTGCCTTCACAATACTCCACATGCCTGGCACCGTGCAGGGAGACACCAAGAAAAAAAAAAGTGGCTTTACTTTCAAGAGCAATCACAGCCCCGCAATCTCCTCTTTGCTGAGAGACAAGCAACGCCCTCAGAAGAACAAAAAGAGTTGGAAAACAAAAACAAAAAAAAGACTCTGACAGTGGTGCAGAAACCATAGGTAGAAAAAGACAAAAAAACAACGGCATCTTACGCAAACACGGTCCGTGGTGCGTTGAGCAGACTTCCCGGGGGAGCGCCAATGGAGCACAAAACCTGCGGCAAGGAAAAAGTAAGCATAGCACCGGTGGCATAGAAAGCAAAGAGAAACGCAAAGAATAAAAAAAAAGGTGACAGTCAGCATAATTGGGGTGAGCGCTCTTGGCGGAACTGCAGTGGCGTACACGAACACCTTTTTTTTCTTTTTTACCAATTTCATCTCATATTTTACGAGGAGCTTGAAGACGATGGTCTCTGATAATTGGCACCCCACCACCTTAACCATCTGAGGGAAAAACACGCATTTTGAGATGTTCTGTCGCCACAGAAAGCTGCGCAAAGGTTGGCACAAACGCACGCAAATGGGTTTCACGCTCCAATTCAAAAGACAATAGATTTGAAAAGTGCTCTGCATCTGCGGCGGTGGCGCTCGCCGGCACGATAGACTCGTAACTCTCTGCCCCACGATACCGTCGGCCATCGATGTCCCGCACCGCCGCCTCCAGTGCCGTCACCGCCTCCACGTGCTCGCGGAAAACACAGCCCGTCAAAGTTTGAGTTACGCCTTTAGTTTCTTTGCGACGAACCTCCGCCTCCATGTGTTTTAGTTGAGCGCAGAGCGACTCACACCCAGCCATCAGTGAGGCAGCAACCACCGACACAACGTCATCCCGTACTGTTGCAGGCGAGTACGAGGAAACAAGAGACCGATCCGTTACTAGACGCCGTAGCCGCTCATTTTCCTCGTAAGTGCGATGAAGTTCCTCCGTGAGACGACAAAGTTGGTCCCGCATTGTCTCACAGGCAGTAAACATCACCCGCTGCTCGCCAGCTTCCGCCGCTGCTCCCTTTGCGTGGTCCTCTATATGACCATCCGTGGCAGTTCTCTCCCGTCGGAGTGTTTGCACTTCTGCTTCCAGTGCCATATTACGCCGCCGTAACTCCTCAATCGCGCCAAGAAGTGTTGATCCACTCTCTCCCTCCTTTTCCGCCGCGCCTCCGCTCGTGGATCGTCCACTGGCGTTGGGCATAGGTGACACTGCCACGCTGCGAACACGCTTCGGGGAAGTGGCTCTGCCACTAACCTTTTCGGCGGTCCGCTTCACCCCGTTACTCGTCCCAATACGAATCAGGGCTTGCTCTCTAAGACGCTGCGTTTCTTTTTTTGTTATGCATTTCATCTCTCGTTGTAGCCGTTGCAGCTCCGCCTGAAGACGACGGTTGTTTTCCTGCAGTTCGCTACCTTGGCTATCCCGTCCTTTTAAAGTTTGTTGTAGCGTGTCCTTCTCCTTCTCGAGTCCTTTAATCTTGCGGAGGAGCCTTGGGACCAATTTCGCGTAATCTACGTTGTCCTGCCTCATCTTTTCGCTAGATGCTGTCAGAGAAAGGATTGTGTCTTGCTTTTGCCGTAGAGCTTCTTGAAAAGACTGCTGCAATCCCTGCGAATGCTTAATTTCAGCCTTGGCGGCAAGTAACGCCTCTGTGAGTTCGCGATTTGTGCGGTCCAGAGTTGTCGTCCAGTCTACAAGCGTCTGTTCTCGTGACACCCGCGGCACGTCTTCTTCAACGAGCGCGCCTTTCACGGGGGTTGCTGTGGCGCACGATGACGTGGCTCGTGCGATGCCACTGCACGGCTGCTCAGGACGAGTGGTACCCCAGTCCCACGTGGGGGCACTCGTGGCAGACTGTCGATGCGACAGCGCATGCGCACACTGTGAGGGGTCAACAAAAAGCTCCCCCATCCAGGCGTAGGGGTGAACCGGCTTCCGAGAAGCACCCGCAGCAGCCGCAACCACCGGCTTCTCATCCGCTGCCTCAACAGGGGAGGGATACACCGGTGACAAGCGGGTGGTATCACCCTGTTGCGGTTTCCGCTGCTGTGGTGCGCCGTGGGTCTGCAAAGAGACCTCCGTCGGCTCTGCCGCAGGTGCATGAGACATTGAAGACATAAATCGAAGAAGCCGCATCGAGCTGCGAGGCGCCAAGGGGGGATCCGGAATTCCCACAACATGCACCAACGCTGCTGGTGGTGCCATGTCTCGTAGGCTGCAGGAGAGAAGACCCCGTGGCGGATACGTCTTGGAACCACACACCCCGCCGCTGCGAAGAAACAACGTCAGTTGATCCAGTGTTTTCTGCCCACAGCCCACCTCCGCGAGCACAACCGTGCCGTACCCCTCAAGATCTACCCGCACTACCACCATAGACTCTAGTGGCAGTATGCCACCCTGCTCCAACTGTGCATGTCGATCATGCAGCAGATTCACAATCGCACCCCACTTTGAGGACGATCCCTCACGCTCTATCAATTGATACTGCACATCCCTTTCGCTACGCACCTCACAACGTTGTAATAGGTCGTGCAGCTTTTTTTCCTTCACGCTAAAGGTGATGGCAGAAACCCGAGCAAAGCAGCAGCGCTCGGCGCTACGGAACAGCAGTGGCAACAAATGTGTGTAAAGCTCAAGAGAAACCCCTAACTTTTCACCCGATGTAGCGCCAGCACTGTCCGCGCTAACCCCGTTTGTTTCATCCTCCGGTAGCGCCACGATGAGAGCGGCGCTACCGCCTTGGCGCACTTTATTCAGCAGGGGCCCTACAACGTGGCCGGCAATGTCGTGCGCCGGACTCAAGACGTGTGAAAAAAAAAGGGAGTGCAAACGCCCCTGAGAGAACGCACGCACCCCGTCTTCGAAGACGGCGTCAAAAAATTCATCGTCACGGGCCTCATGCGGGATGATGCAAAGCGTGCGCAACGTCGTCTCCATGAGTAATTCACCTGCTCCGAACCCAACTAAGCACCACGCACACCCTCTCCCACTACCGCCACTGCCCAGCCACAACCCAGTCAATGGCCCTATCAGGCACAGAAGCAAACGTGGCAAGAGCAAAACATATATGTTTATTATATATAAATATATACATATATACATATATACATATATATATATATAAAGCGGAACGACAAAGAAATGCATACAAGTACGCATAGAAAGCGGAGCAACACAGAGGCACTGAAGGAGGCAAACAAGTGTAAGGATATACAACAAGAACAACAACAACCAGACTCACATCGAAAAAAGTCCCCAAAAGTCAAAAGTAAAAAAAAAAAAAATGTGTGACAAAGCCACAAAGCAGATCTCAAACCGAGAAATACAAGGGGTACATGAGAATGCCAAAAGAATTCGTTTTTCCAGTGCTCATGCACTCTTCAGATTCTATCCATCCCTTGACTACGTGGCTTACCTTCACTTTTTATTTGCTTCCCCGCAAGGATGTACATACGCACACGTTGTCCGTTAAAATCCCACAGCAGTGCTTCGACAGAAAACACAAGACAGGGGAAAAAAAAAACGACATGAAGGAGAAAGCAAAAACCCACAACATCATGAAGACCAGCTGGATAGGTAGGTGCATACAGTTTTTTTTTCTTTTTTTTTGGCTATTGTGGTTGCGGTTTGCGCCTTCCCATCAAAGCACTGACGACTGAGATCTTACGTCACACACTTCAGTCAAAGAAGAAAAAAAAACTAATATTCGTTCGTCATTATATGTTGTACACATTATCGACTCTCTCTCTCTCTCTCTCTCTCTCTCTCTGTGTGTGTGTGTGTA